TTAAGAAGCGCAATTTTTAATTTGTCCTTTTTAAATAAGTCTACCTGACATACTTTTTTTATTGCCAGACATTTTTCACATTGCTAACTATGTGCCAGACGCGATTTTAAGTTTTTTTTTTAAATTTCAAAGTATTTTAGAATGTCTGTAATTTTAATATTATGTTCTTTAAATATAAGAAAAACTAAAAATGAATTTGCCAGACATTAATTCGGTTGTTAAGTCTTGAATTAAAATGAAAAAGTATTGCAGTATGATGAAGCGTTGCATTTTAAGAAGCGCAATTTTTAATTTTTCCTTTTTAAATAAGTCGACCTGACATACTTTTTTTATTGCCAGACATTTTTCACATTGGTAACTATGTGCCAGACGCGATTTTAAGTTTTTTTTTTTTAAATTTCAAAGTATTTTAGAATGTCTGTAATTTTAATATTATGTTCTTTAAATATAAGAAAAACTAAAAATGAATTTGCCAGACATTAATTCGGTTGTTAAGTCTTGAATTAAAATGAAAAAGTATTGCAGTATGATGAAGCGTTGCATTTTAAGAAGCGCAATTTTTAATTTTTCCTTTTTAAATAAGTCTACCTGACATACTTTTTTATTGCCAGACATTTTTCACATTGCTAACTATGTGCCAGACGCGATTTTAAGTTTTTTTAATAAAAATTTCAAAGTATTTTAGAATGTCTGTAATTTTAATATTATGTTCTTTAAATATAAGAAAAACTAAAAATGAATTTGCCAGACATTAATTCGGTTGTTAAGTCTTGAATTAAAATGAAAAAGTATTGCAGTATGATGAAGCGTTGCATTTTAAGAAGCGCAATTTTTAATTTTTCCTTTTTGAATAAGTCTACCTGACATACTTTTTTTATTGCCAGACATTTTTCACATTGCTAACTATGTGCCAGACGCGATTTTAAGTTTTTTTTTTTAAAAATTTCAAAGTATTTTAGAATGTCTGTAATGTTAATATTATGTTCTTTAAATATAAGAAAAACTAAAAATGAATTTGCCAGACATTAATTCGGTTTTTAAGTCTAGAATTAAAATGAAAAAGTATTGCAGTATGATGAAGCGTTGCATTTTAAGAAGCGCAATTTTTAATTTTTCCTTTTAAATAAGTCTACCTGACATACTTTTTTTATTGCCAGACATTTTTCACATTGCTAACTATGTGCCAGACGTGATTTTAAGTTTTTTTTTAAAAAAATTTCAAATTATTTTAGAATGTCTGTAATTTTAATATTATGTTCTTTAAATATAAGAAAAACTAAAAATGAATTTGCCAGACATTAATTCGGTTGTTAAGTCTTGAATTAAAATGAAAAATTATTGCAGTATGATGAAGCGTTGCATTTTAAGAAGCGCAATTTTTAATTTTTCCTTTTTAAATAAGTCTACCTGACATACTTTTTTTATTGCCAGACATTTTTCACATTGCTAACTATGTGCCAGACGCGATTTTAAGTTTTTTTTTTATAAAAATTTCAAAGTATTTTAGAATGTCTGTAATGTTAATATTATGTTCTTTAAATATAAGAAAAACTAAAATGAATTTGCCAGACATTAATTCGATTGTTAAGCCTTGAATTAAAATGAAAAAGTATTGCAGTATGATGAAGCATTGCATTTGAGGAAGCGTTATTTTTAATTTTTTTTGTTCAGAATCTTCTCACACGATAATGATTCTTCAATAGTTTTAATTACTTAGTTATTTATCACTTTGTATGAATAACATTTATTAAAACTTACGTAAATGTTTTTATTACCAATGAAAGGCATCATACTGCCATACTTTTCATGACTTTTTCATTTTAATTCAAGGCTATACAATCGAATTAATGTCTGGCAAATTCATTTTTAGATTTTCTTATATTTAAATAACATAATATTAAAATTACAGACATTCTAAAATACTTTGAAATTTTTATAAAAAAACTTAAAATCGCGTCTGGCACATAGTTAGCAATGTGAAAAATGTCTGGCAATAAAAAAGTATGACAGGTAGACTTATTTAAAAGGAAAAATTAAAAATTGCGCTTCTTAAAATGCAACGCTTCATCATACTGCAATACTTTTTCATTTTAATTCAAGACTTAACAACCGAATTAATGTCTGGCAAATTCATTTTTAGTTTTTCTTATATTTAAATAACATAATATTAAAATTACAGACATTCTAAAATACTTTGAAATTTTTATAAAAAAAACTTAAAATCACGTCTGGCACATAGTTAGCAATGTGAAAAATGTCTGGCAATAAAAAAGTAGTCAGGTAGACTTATTTAAAAAGGAAAAATTAAAATTGCGCTTTTAAAATGCAACGCTTCATCATAATGCAATACTTTTTCATTTTAATTCAAGACTTAACAACCGAATTAATGTCTGGCAAATTCATTTTTAGTTTTTCTTATATTTAAAGAACATAATATTAAAATTACAGACATTCTAAAATACTTTGAAATTTTTATAAAAAAAAAACTTAAAATCGCGTCTGGCACATAGTTAGCAACGTGAAAAATGTCTGGCAATAAAAAAAGTATGTCAGGTAGACGTATTTAAAAAGGAAAAATCAAAAATTACGCTTCTTAAAATGCAACGCTTCAACATACTGCAATACTTTTTCATTTTAATTCAAGACTTAACAATCGAATTAATGTCTGGCAAATTCATTTTTAGTTTTTCTTATTTTTAAAGAACATAATATTAAAATTACAGACATTCTAAAATACTTTGAAATTTTTATAAAAAAAACTTAAAATCGCGTCTGGCACATAGTTAGCAATGTGAAAATGTCTGGCAATAAAAAAAGTATGTCAGGTAGACTTATTTAAAAACGAAAAATTAAAAATTACGCTTCTTAAAATGCTTTTAAAATCCAGGATTATTACCGACAGATAGGATGCGACTAATGAACGCAACCGCTCGCAGCCAGATGCCCAGACTCTTACCGAAAGTGCAAGAAGGAAGACATATCACAAAATCAGCTGACCTAAAATTCTTTCTTTTCAAACGTTGCTACCTCCCGTACTATTAGGGCGGCCTGTGCTATAAGTTATCTACGGGGCTGTGTCTGGGTTATATATACATTTCAGTTTATATAGTTTTTTTGTAACTTATGGGTTATTCTAGCCCTTATAGAGGCCAAAAATATAACAAGTAAGATATATTACGAGTAAGATATATTTCTCACGTAGGGTTAAGTCTCCAAAGGATGTAGGAATGGGGACTACCTACTACTACCTACTGCACAGCTGTTCAGAGTTCGCTCCTCTCAGATTACGATTCAATATTATTACGAATTAGTTATAGAAAAATTCTTTTAATGTAGTTCTACGGGTTTGTACCTTACAGTCATCTACGTTAGTAAGATGGTGTGGTTAATGTACTCGTAATAATTCAGAATACAGGCTAATCGATAAATTATTAAATATTTCTTGGATTTAGAAGCCTAATGAAAGAAGAAAACTTTTTTGTGTGTCAGTTAAAAATATAAATCACTTATTCACGTAACGATCGTGAACACCTTTGACCTTTTGACCTACACCTTTTTCTTGAGTCTTGGAAGTCAAAGAAGCCAAATTTATCCTATAACAATGTTTCAACTAAAGAACTAATATTTTTTACATTTAAATGTGCGTGAAAACGTCAATTGAGAACGAGATAATAATATGAAAGATGTTTGCTCTGCGACATTTCATAGCCCTACATTTAGAAACAAAAATTGGTAATGTTATATATAGCATAATTGTAACTTCTAAAAGCGATACCGATTGCAAGGATTTATGAAATGTCGAAGTATTTCTCTCAACATCCATAGAACTGATATCTTGATACTTGATACAACTCAGCTTTGAGCATTGCTGTCGCTTTTGGGAGTTACAGAATATCGGCTTGTTCTCGTGATTGTTTTAATAAGAAAATGACGTCATGATTGACGTAAAGTTATTACAAAAATAGCGGGAGGATCGAAGCAAAAAATACGCAGATAATTTGTTATTACCTTTACGGGCATTGAACTCGGATCCTGTATTCTTCGATGGAAATAAATCTGCTTTTTTGCTCTCAACTGAATATGTTTTTTAATTCCGAGTTTAAATTTTAACTCGTGTTTATCTCAAAGCGGATTAGCATTAAAAGCTTCGTTGTTTATGCTTGAGATATTTTGAGATTCATGATATTTTACAATTTAGTTATAACTCGAAAAAAATTTAAACCTATAGCTATTAAATAAATAAATCGTTTATTTGTAATGAAAGTGGTACATTTAGATCGATTAATAATAAAAATCCGCACAATCAGCCATATAAAATAGGCAAATGTCATATTAATTTTCATAATGTCATATAATAAGGACATAAGCATAATGTCATAATAATAAGTTGAGTTATTTATAATTGTTTTTAAACTTATGCTGACGCTATTAAGAAGATTCATTTTAAGATTTTTTGACTCTAATAACACCGAATATACGGAATTTATTCTTCAATTCTATGTATAATACCGAATTGTTGTTTCATTTAGTAGTTACTGGCTGGGATCCAAACTACAAAAAAATATTTCAATGATAACCCTAAGGTAGGCCCCTGCTCACAACTGGATTTTTTACAATTGTATTGTAAAACGTGACACTCACTGAATTAAAAGCGTAAGTGGGACGAGGATCGTGAGACGAAGGGCCCCCATTCGCATGTGAAGGAAAGTCGCATTGGAAAAGTGGCTACGGCAATAATCTATCGAGTTCAGTAGGAAGTGGAAACTATATAATCTCTCCCAAATCAAATAAAAATAGTAAGGTCCTTCGCCACAAGTGCCAGGGAGATTTACGATAATAAATTAAAAAAACTCAAAGTCAATTTGCGGTCGCACGATAGCTATGCAATATAGGGTGATGGTGTATTATTTTTATTAATTGTGCTGTAAGCTAAATAGAAAACACCTATACAAAAAAAAAATGTTGGCTAATCAGTAATGGCTAAAGCTAATAAGTAATGTTCAGTGGTAATTTCTTAGCATCAGGTTTGCATGTCCCATAAGTAAGCAAGAAAAGTGTAACATGCTATTCTCGTGCAAGTCAATCAACGCGTGATTAACAAAATGCTTGCTATTTAACTGGTTACATAGTGCGCAGAAGCCTCCAGTGCACTGCGTTATAAGTAGCTTACGTGTGATTGCCTCCCGCAGCGTTGTTGAAAGTGTAGCGAGCGTTTCGCGTAGCACAGCGTGGTGTCGCTCAAACATCTCAACATCTATACAAAATTCTGTTTCTAAGGCTTCTTAGCATTTGTATATAACTTATATACTGCACATATAACACATACCATACATACCCGCGGTCAGAGAGCGTCACAAATAATAAGGATAAAATATTAAAAATTAAAGTGAGAACACTTAAAATAATCATCAGTGGAAACTTGAATTTTAAAAATTAAAAATCTTTGTACAAAAGCTTCAGCTGCTGTTTTTGCTAATATTATACAAAAAACGCTTATTATAATGTAAATACACATATTTTAAGGTTTTTTAATTCAGATTCTTACAACCATACTTCTTAATTAATTATACTAATTACCAAGATGACGTCTGTTATATTATTTCTATTGTATATTATACAGTTTTTTTTATGATTAATTTTAATATGTTTAAGAACAACAATTCGTTACTACAAATCTCTGTAGGTAAAAGAAAGGCTAATTAATACATATGTAAGCTATATATATGAGTTAATAGCTATTTACTTACATGCTGGATGATCATAAAGAGGAGCAACCCGGATTCCTTCAAGTGGACCACCAGCTAACTTGGAAGATATAGCTTCCAGAAACTCTCTGACGTGACGGAGGTCTCGGTTGTCGCTTGTACCTTCGCATTCTTCGTCTGAAATCGATAATAATAATTTTAATAGTATGAACAAATGCACTTAATGTTAATGTATTTTTTATTAAATGCTTGGCAAATATGAAAACATACCACTTTGCATAGAAAAATATATCAGGCGTTAAAAATGTTTTGCTATCATCGGTCTTAGATTTACGGTAAGTATATGTAATATAGATATATGCGATAAACACGTAATTATATCTTGTATTAATTTATTAAATTAGCTTTAAAGATGATATTGTCAGACCTTAATGTTTTATAAATTGTCAACACACTCCATAGAGCGTCTTTAGTAAAATTGTCTTGTTAATAATTATATCTTGGTGAGTGAATGAAAACTTAAATACCAATTTGTTCCAGTTTATCAGTGCTGAGAGACCAGGGCATCAGGCTGAGGGCGCGTTGAACTTGTCTGAGAAACCACGCCCCTGACTCAAACTTTACCGAACTGAAAATATCAAAAATATGTATTACTGGCCTTCGAATCTATTTTCTCTAATGAATATATTTCAATGATAAATTTGATGAAAAATTACACACTTATATGCATTGCTAAATATAACTTTATACATATCAAAGAATTTGTTTCAAACGATATTCATGTTTCTTACATCCTCATTGACGATATTTGCAGCACGCATTCTGTCAATGTTATGTCAAACTCCATAAGGTTACATCAATAAAGTTTGAATTGTATGGTGGTTAATTATTCTTAAATTTTCTAATTTTCTGCGCAATTTTCTTATTTTTTTCTATCATTAGAACCTTCTCTAATATAATACTGCATATCCGTTATACTCGTATTGTCTTTTAATATACGATCAGTCACATATATGTGCTAAATCAATTACGATCAACCAAACTCCCAAATAAAGACACCAACTATTTCTTATTACGAAAATAAGAAGTATTAAAGAATGGCACAATCAGCGCGTACGTTTTCCTCTCGTTTCGACAGCGATGGCGCTTAAAAAACTAAGAAATACTCGGCTATGAGAAATGCAACATTACACAACGATAATAAACTTGTAACTTACTCGTGGTATTCACAAATGCATGGGACCAAACCGCCTAAAGTGTCACCACCACACCGTCGGCAGATGTGTTTGTCACCTGCAGCTATAGATTTCTTTGTGTAGACGTCTTTTGTTTCCCTGTAATTTATAAAGGTTTATTAGGTAAAAAATGATCATCAGAGTTGCAGTTTAACAGTTTAGCCTCGAGCATATTGAAATACTCTGGATTATTGTTATTTCTTTGAGTTAAATCGAATAATTAATTTTTTCGATAAAATAAATACAGATATCAAAGCAGATAAAGCAGCCCTGCCCTAACTTTATCTTTATATTCGTTTATCTAGTTATAACATTCTCAAAGTAAACTATTAATGCGGCCCGGAATACACAAAATCTTCCTCAGTACACATTATACAGATAAAGTGCACAAATCTTGTTGATACGGACTAAAATTTAATAAATAGTCTATAAAAACTTGTGCACATAATATTCTTAAATAAATTTAAAATATATTTTTACAATAAAAGACACAATATTCATTTAATTACAAGATTAAAAACGGTACAAGGTATTAACGGAGCGCGTTGAACTCATTTGTAGGGCGTTTCGTCGTTCTCCCGTAGGACAAGTATGAAGATGTGAACTATCTTTATAGAAAAACTAGCTGCCCCCGCGAACTTCGTTTCGCCTTAATGTGATTTTACTTAGCCTATCTTTTTAGTACATACCAACATGGAACATTTTGCTATGCTACCCCGGAGACTGTTCGATTTTCCGGAATGAAAACTTTTAGATTTTTCTGTGAATTTTTCTCTATATAAACCTCAGAGTTCAAGTCATAAGTTTTAAATTAACAAATAAAATAAGGGTTGATCGTAGAGGGGTGAAAATTAGGGGTTGTATGTATTTTTATATGTTGTGTCTTAAAAAAAACAATTATCCAAAAAAAATATTATTAGTGTGGACACCCCTTATCACTAAAAGGGTTAAAAGATAAATAGTAGCCGATTCTCAGACTTACTGAATATGCATTAAAAATTCATAAGAATCCGTCGAACCGTTTCGGAGGAGTATGGGAACGAACATTGTGACACGGGAATTTTATATATTAGATAACGACACATTTTTGTATGAAAGAATTAAACAATGCTAAAAACAATAAAAATATGCACTGATCGAATGGAATTGTAAATTTCAAAGTACCTAATGTAAGAAAAATACTTTTTTGTATACCTACATACTACTATCGACGAGTGATTTAAAGTGGGGACTAAATATTAAAGTAACGTAAGCTCTGAGCGATTAAGATTGGAATTTACTAAGATAGTTAAAACTTTATTAGATTAACGTTATGATTTATTTAGCTGATTGGGAAACGTTTGTGCACATGTTACAAACAGATGGCGTAACAGAATTTACTAAGTAATAATACTTAGTAAATTCCGTCTGTTGTCTATACGTTGTTTATTAAAAGCGAAAGAGTTTATTTAAAGTTATGAAGATATTCCCATTTTTTAATTTAATGAAAAATAAACGAAACTCTTGTCTTCCAATCTCAATACTTAAGGTTTATTAAAGTTGTTAAAAATACATCCTTATACTTTATAATCATTGCGATAGTGTTAAAACTTGTTTAAAGAGTATTATGAAAAATAATATAATATCATCGAATAATATAATAAAAAGTTAAGACTTGTATTTTTGTAAAGAATAACTTCAGAACTAGTGAACAAGTTGGTCTTTCGCGAGATTTTAAAAGAGCGTATTAATTCTTAAAAAGTCGAAAAAGACTTGTTATGATGTTGTAGTATTGGTGTTATGTCCCTTAACATTAGGTTTCGTTTTGCCTCAAAATTAATATTAACTACTTAATAATTTTACTAATCAAGCACAAATCAGTAATTCCTCCGTATTAGTAAATTAGGTTAGACTTAAATTACTTATTAGTCTTAAGTCACGCTAGATCGTAATGTTCCATGACAAGTATAGACATATGTTATTTAAATAACAATTTAAACACAAATCAGACAACAGTGAAACGCTGGAAAATTTTGGATTATACTGGTTTCCCGTTGTTTATTTTCACAAGCATTAATTGTGTGAAAAATATATTGATGACCTTGATTAAGAGTGGAGCGCTCAGCTAATAGACTCTGCTTATAATGATGTAACAGGCAGTTTTTTGTTGTATTATTACACTGATCTTCTCCTCCTCTAAGCACTTTACTCAATATAGGGAGTATGATTATTTATAACATTACTTCATTAAGGTACTGCACAAGTAAGCATCTAATGTACAAGCATTATGGTAACATTCATAAACACGACGAGAGGATGACCTTGCTACTGTGGTTGGGACACTGGTGTGAAGCAAGCCGAATCGAAGCAATCGTTTTTGTAACTCGCATATTTTTAAATGACCAAATAATTACAAATACCATGTGTCCTGTCATGTATGTGAAGGTTTTATTGTCTTTTTAGAAGCCAGGAACATTTACATAAAGATCTACTGGTTTATTTTAATAATTATAATAATTCTTAAGACTAGAAATAAATAAAGATATTTACAGAGTAAACTTGTGTTGCAAGTCGATGATATTTAAAAATGTTCGACATTTTGTTTGTGTCCTTTATTATGTAGATATTATGTACTTTAATCATAATTAATTGAATCAGTTTCAAAATATGTTTTTTTCAACTTCATTGTTTATAAAAGTTTCCATAGATAGAAAATATACGGCTGAAAGTTGTTCACTTTTGTAAATGAACTTAACTTAATTAAAAAATAACATGGTTCATATAATTAAATAATAACTTGCCACCCAATATAAACCTCAAAAAGTTATTTAAACTTAAGTCTTTATTACTGTTATGAAAAGAAGAAACAGACATCCGAAAACTTATTCTTAAAAAATTGCATTATAGTACATTTCTAATTAGTATTGTCACTTCATAAAATAATGTAAAATCAGTGTTTCCGTACAACAGCACGCAGAGATCTTATATATTGCGAAACGCAAATACTTTAATAATTATTGTAAGTCAAAAATGTACGTCAAAAGTCTACGCCGTGGGGCATTTTTTAAAGTCCATTCTTATTAATTATTCAAAACCAATCAACGTATATTTATCATATACCTTTCCACTAATGGTTTGTAAATATTCTTATGAAGTGAGGTCAAGGTTATGACGTAAGACAAGTTCAAGATCTTGCTTTTTGTAAGGCTACTATTGCGTGCATCTTACATGTAAATACACCAAATTTTTATTAAACATATTTCATATTTACAATCAAGTATACAGTATTTACAATTTCTTACACTAATAAATAATTAAAAAGAAAATGAAAACAAATTTAAAAAGTTTGGTCCCTGTGGTAGTCAGTGGAGTAACTATACCATTTGGGGCCCGTGGGAAACTCTTTTGATCAGTAAAAATTGTAACGTTGTACTCAGTTTAATTTTAATATCTAAACTTCGAAATTTTCAGCGTACTCAATAACACGTTGTATATGTCCCACTAATGGCCATAGGCCTCCTCTCTTAGGCGAGAGTGAATGGTCTGTAGTCCCCACGCTAGCCCAATGCGTATTGGAGACTTCACATTCATCCATAGAACATAATATCTCTATGGCAGGGACATATTTTCACGACATATGCAATACTCGGCAATATTTTTAGTATGACCTATGAATGTTTAGTGTCCCAGCCGTATGGCCGGAACGATTGCTTTGCAATCGAAAATACTGCAATATTTCCCAGCCATGCTAGTGCTCTCTCGCTTTACGGCCTAAGTGCGTCACTTTCTCATGCTACGTGAAGTTTGCCACGATTGGTTGGATTAGTTTTTTTTGTGTTTGACAAAATAATGAGCCATATATAGAAATGTTGCCGAGATATACATTTTTCAGCCATGTGCAATGATGTAGACTAGATATTTAATTAAAAGTGTAGTCCGTGTAGAGGCCCCTTTAGCAATTCACCTACGCATTCTAATTCCCGCCAATTGGTATTGCACCGGGAATCTCAAAAATGTTTTCAACTATTTGTTATAGATTTATACGTTGACTCAGTGAAGAGTGAACAAGATTTTTTATTGTCTACAACTCTTACCAAATCCTGAAGTTGATAGTTTTTTAATTCTATTGGAAAGCGAAAGAAAATATTTATTTTTTAATTCTGTTGTGTCTGTTGGCGTTTGTATCAGCTTTTATTTTAGCATTTCTGAACATAAGCATTGTACAGTAAAAATTGCTAATTCTCCACTATAGTGTGCAATACTAGGTGCCAATGAATGGAAACCAATGAAAATATACAAGCGAAAACATATTATTTAAAATAGTCATAACTGCAAGGAAAGTCTATTAAAAAGCAAAATTCTTTGCAATTAACAAATATTTAAGCCTTGGTCGCGTACTGAGTAATTTATAAATAATTCATTAGTGTATGTGAAGACAGGTTAGAACAATTTGGTAGGTGTTTAGGTAATAACAGGTAACTTAACCAGTTTCTAGATTTTATCCAATGAAGGAGAGACACTTAGGTTTTGAAATTGCTTAAAAGTCAATGAACTGAAGCGAAACCTAAAAAGTTGTTGTGACACAGGAATAATTATATCAGTGTTTTATTCTGGTAGAATGTGCGAATATTCGCTTATCACAATAAAAAAGTGCGTACAAAGTACACATGTCAGAAGTGAAACTTCTTTGGCAAACTAATTTTTAACTCATGTTCATATTTTTCACAAATCTAAAACATTAGATTTCCGAGATTTAGAGGGAGGGAAAATGAAATATATGTTAGGAATTTGATGAATTTAGTTGTCATTAAAATATTAAAAGTGTCGAAAATTAATACAAATTATAAAATTATTTTTTTAAATTTATTTCTTCGATAATAAAAAAAACGTGTCATTTTAATTTAAAATTGGTCATTTGAGATTTCAATAAATTATTTTGCATAAAATATAAAATACTAATATTTCATAAATTCTCTTTACGAAATTTTAATTTTAAAAATAGAATTTCTATCACCCTTCTCACTCTTTCTCAATCGGTCTGAATCGCTCTCTCCCTTTTCTTCGATAAAAACGCTGCACATCTTCGTGACGCTCCGTAAAAATTTTACACTCATGCGCCTAAAGAAGTTTCACTTCTATTTCATTTACAAATTTGACTCTTTAAGTGACATTTTAAACTTAATACCTTTTGAGGCAAATTTCTGCATCTGTTCCGAAAAAAAGTGCTTCTTTGGTTACTGACAATTGTAAAATTGTACAAACAGAGATTAGAAGTTTTTTCCATACTATACTACTATCCTGACACAACTATCTCTCTTATTAGTCGTAGTTGCCATATGGAGCGGACTATCTCGATCAGTATCTGTCTAGCGCCTCTGTTGTTGCAGTGTAAAGTTTTGAGAACGATGAGTCACACAATATAAAAAAGGTATGTTTAAAAATAACATTGTTACCGATGGAAAAATAGACCCCGTTTGGTTGGTACTGAATCATATGTTAAAATTGGCTTATATCCTTGAAGAAACTTGTCTAAAGACAATACAAGAACCCGGAAGGTTTTTACAAAAAACACACAGAACACAGAATAAATGTAGGAAGTTTGTCACGGCTTTACACAATTCTAAGATGCCTACTTTAATTTAACCTTGAGAAGAATTTCCGCTCAGATAAAACTTGAAAACTATTCCCTATGATAAAATGGCATACGTGGTTGTTCATATAAAAATATTTTATTAAGAACGCATCATAATGTTACTGCTATTGAAACGTGCATATTACATACATATAATTTATAAAACTAGTATTAAGTATATGTGTTTTTGTGAATAAATAATATGCATGGAGATTTAAAAAACCCATTTTTATTTAGATTTCTTTATCAGTATTCAGGTAGCTGTTTAATATTTTGATCTTCAGTCTCGTATCACTTCGTACATAAACATATACCTATATAAAACATTACTTATGGTTAACTAATCTAAATCATAAAATCGTTAAACTTTAGGTTTGTTATATACAATCTCGTACAAGGCGATTGATTTGTGGAAGATGAGTACTACTTTTGACCTACTATTATATTATTTTACAGCTTTAGGTCCAAAGAAAATTTATTATATTATACAATTTGTATTTTCGTATCAAAACAATATCCGATTATGGTTCGGATGTATGGTAAGATCGCTGGGATTGTTGCGGCAGTATAGTTGTTTACTATAACTTCTCAGTCGTATTAATCATTGCTGAAGGTTACTGTAAGGTGCCTGCAGCCTTGCTAGTGTGCTCCACATTGTTCGGTCTATAGCTTCCCTTACCGCAGCTGGTATGTGGAGACCCGTGAGAATCTAGGTTGACACCAGCTGGTTGGCAATTTGCCCAGCGGTCTTCTGCCTTCCACCTATACTTATTTCAAAGAAGTATTTTGTGGTGTACTTTTCCATTCATAAATTTTATTGTTTTATGAAATATCGTACTAATATTGAAACTCTTTTTGATGTTTGTTACTCTTTCACGTAAAAACTACTGAATGGATTTTCATGAAACGTTACAATAATATAGCTTATACATCAGAATAACACAAAGGCTACAATTTATAAAGATATCGTGTGAATTGTCCAAAATATCTACTTCCTAAATAGTAAGTAGGAAAACAATCTACCATCTGCGAGCTATTCCGGCGTGCGCTGCCAAAACCGCTAGAGTTACACATATGTAATGTACGATGGAAATGTTTATCTTAAATAGTCCTACAAAATAGCCCGCCACAGAATATATCTATGTCTTATGTGTAAGCCAGTATAGCCAAAATATTAAACCATAACTACAATAAAAATTGATAATTTATTTCTAATGCAACTTTGGTAGTAATAAATTGATTACTAAATGGAAATAGATATGCACTTTCATCGCTTCTGATATTCAAAGTAGATAATATATGTCTATTACGTCACATCGTTTGGACAAATATTACTTTAATCCTGCGCAGACGAAGTCGCGGGCACCAGCTAGTCCACAATATAAATACGGTACAATGTCTAAGTAAACAAGAACTTAGTTCCTTTGATAAATTACCGTATTATAATAAAAACACGTAATATGTTGGAATTGAATTAATTAAAATTACCTATGTTGAGCTAAGGCAGACCTTAGATGACTTTAAATAATAGTTATAGACGATTATGTGTGAAAATTATATAAATTTATTTGTAACATATAACAACGTAATACAGGTACATATATATATATAGGTTCTAGTCTCTTTACTTCAATATGAGAAGTCAAAATTGAGGAATAACACAACAATATATTAGACAAACACCAAGCATTTTTTTCATCAGTTTGTTCTGTATAAGTTAACTTTTGACATAGCAACCCTACAAATTATACACTCTTTGTTCGAAACGTTGAAAAATTTGAAAATCTTTTTACTCTTTAAACATATTTCTTTATTCTCACCACCTTCGGACAAGCAGAAAAGCTGGGGCGGCCGCAGAGCAGGCGGAAAATAATAAATGGCTCAAATATAAGAGTCTATCCTTCAACTTCGATTTTGTTCCCTTTGGAGTACTCTAGAGCCGTGGGGTTCAAGTATTCAGGCGCTAATTAGAGATTTAAGATGGCGCAAGTAGATAGTACCGGTGACCCCAGAGCTGGTGCTTTCCTCGCTCAACGAATGAGTATCGCAATATAGCGAGGAAATGCTGCCAGCGTTAAAGGTACACTTGCACAGGGACCAAACTTTTTAATTTGTTTTAATTTAATGGATGATATTATAAACCGATAGTATCATTTTTATTCTAAAATATAACTATGATTTAAAGTCTTTTACTCTTTCAAAACCGATACTAAGGACTAACCTCGTTATTCATAAAAGTAATTCAATAATTGCACCATTTTAACTCTATTATTTAATCTATGGCACTTATCTGCCTCTTTTCAGGACAGCGTAATAACAATTGGACAAAAAACGAAAAATTGTCGTAAAAGAGTAAATAAATTTAAAAAAATTTACGCACTCGTAAACTGGAAAATATTCCATTCGATTTTATTAATATACAATTAAATAATTATCTCTATTTTAGAGTCACTTTGAATTAAACGTTCTTTAGATTATTTAATATTATAATTATACGTAAGAAAACAACACGTTTTAAATATATAATTTTAATTACTAATATATTCACACGAATTATCACAGTTATTCATCGTCCATATCGAACCACATAGATGTTACACTTGTCGATTGTTCACGACTGTGGTCCTCAGTCATTATTTTCAGTACGACAACCTCCATCATGCATAGTGCGAACAATATCACAAATATCGCGAAGTTCGAGCCTTGGTGATGTGGTTGGAAGGCATTGGGTATCGGCCCCGGAGGGGGCCAGGCCGCCACACCCGACGCCATCACACTGCTTACACCCGACAATGACATTTCACCTACTTTTCATTTTCACTATCAAATCACATAGAAAATGTTTCACTTATTACAATCATTCATCGTATATGACTGACTTGTATATCTTAATTCTTTATGTATATCTAATTTTATTTAATAAATGTCTTGTTTATTTGTGTAGCACTCGCGTACGTCCACCGCGCTGCTGCGTGTTATGAAATGTGTACGCTTTAGTTAGAAGCTCGTTGGGAAATGGTGAATGCAACCCGGTCAAGGCTGCGCGTTGGCCGATGACCTTTAATGCGATATTGTTTTAGATGCAATTTTCATTCATATAAGATGGCGCCGATATTATTATTAAAAATAAGCTATTTAAAAATTATCAGTCTGTATTCAAATACTCAATAGCCCCCGCTCTACGCCCTTGACTTGGGAACTGGTAGTAAATGTAAATTTAGAATTAATTTAACATCTCTTCTGTCGACGTTCATATGTATGTTTACCTATATGAATAAAGTTATTTTGTTTAGTTTGAATATAATATGATGATGTATGTCTTGTTTTATGCATTCTACTAATAGATTTCTGTATCTTGACCGTAGTTAATTATCTTTTCGTAATTATAAAATTACATAAATATTATTTATTTATTTTGATCCCTTCTGATGTATTAGTACCAGTACATTATCTCTATTTAAATGTTTATTTTATGATAACCTATTTATGTCAAAATGTTAATTAATTTTGAAATATTGCCTATCGTTTAAGATAAGTTCTGACAATGTTGCATCAACCACAATTTAATTTATTTACAAAATAAACTAATTGTCATAAAAATTTGTAATAACAAAAAATATAAATATGTATTTATACAAAACAGTATTTAGTGAGAACAGTAAGGTTCAATGTGTCCTTTTAAGTTTTTGGTTCCTTGAATTCCGGAAATAATTTGTAAGATTTAAAATACGTTGTTCTACTTCCTACCACTGGTAACGTATTTTCTGTCGGTTTCCTGTTTAACGATGACAGTACACAAAATGTCAGTTTGCTTTGTGCCACAGATTCACAAAAAAGAATACATTTTTAAGTATTTCTCTTTCAAAATATTAGATTTGTACAATGATAAATATTAAAATATTATTTTAAATTATAATATCTAGATAACATATGTATAGACTATAAAACAAAAGCTTTTGTAACGATGTTTACTGTGACTAAATAAAAGATTGCTGGGAAAATATCAGATCGATTAATTACAAAAATCCGCATAATTAACCATATAAAAATAGGCATGCAAATGTCATAGCAATTTTTATAATGTCATAAAATAAGAACATTAACATTATATCATAATAATAAGTTAAGTTATTTATAATTGTTGTCAACGCTTTAAAGGCACCTTGCCTTTAAACATTTAACCACATTTCCCTTGAAAGAATTTCACGGCAGTGATCTATAACTTCTAAGAAGGTGATTAAATAGTTTGATAGCCATGACGTAGCAATCATGAAATCGTGGTAACATGCAGGCACCCACAGCCGTGTTGGATCCCTCGGTATATAGGCAAGTTAAATATGTGGAACAATTTTGTATACATTTTTACAGTTACAACTGCATCAAGGTTACATAAACTTGGTGCTAGTGTTCTAGCTTTCATTGTACGGTCGACATTACATAGAATGTTTATCTGTTTCAGAAATAGACATACCGAAGAGTATTAATATGTAAGAGGTTGGTAGCATTCTACGTTTGATAGCAACATTTTAACGTCCAAAAAGTTTAGTTATTTATTGTCATATACATGTGACAGATAATAACAATAATGTTTATTTTTATAACATACAAGGATTCGCCGGAATTATCCGTTCGAAGAGCATCAGAAACAGATCTTTCCACTGAAAAAACGTTACTGGTTAATCCTATTTGTCCTGTCAGAATTATGTTGGAGTATATACGAAAGAAATGCAGGTTTGTATTAACACTATAAACACAAGCTAAAACTTCTTGTTACAAGTTTTGTATCGTATACTAACTATCTTACAAAAAATTTTTTTTGGAAGTTATAGACTATGAAATGCATTTAATTTATATTGTTAAAATAATAAACATAAAAACCGCACTGTTAAAAATTCCAAGTATTTTAGTTACAATTAAATGCTCTATATAATATAAAAGATTTTATCGCACTTCAGATGTCAAGATATATCTAATAAAGATGCTGTATTTAGTAGATATGTTTGAAAAGAATATTTCCTCTCCTTTTTCAGGTTTGGTATATTCACACAGTTTGATTTATGTGATGAATCTGGTGCATTAAAGGGACTATTCAATATGCCGACCTATGCATATGCCACTGAGCAGTTCGAGCATAAAAAAACATATTACCTCATTGTATTGAAAATGGTTAGCATAAAGTATCTTTTAGTATGCCTACGATGAGCAGTGTTGGACTAGTAGTGCGTCTCTCGGGCTGAAACTCAAGTAATTTCAGCCCTAGAAGGAGTTTTTCGGTACTTAATGCTTACTTGTTTTTAAACTCAATTAATTGCAGCCTAGTAGGTCATAGCATATGGTCATACATATACATGAAGTCTGTCATATTTTGTCTTTAGTATGTTAATTGGAACAGCGAGCCATATTTTTCGTCATAATATGTTTATGATGGCGTAGTTTGTGCTCCTGTATATTCTTCGGTACTTTTTCAAATGTTGATCTACCGTTTAGTTTATACAGATTTTTCTTGGGTTTAAATATAAAAAAAATTAAAATCTAAAACTAAATAATACTTACTATTGTACTTGTGCAAAATTAATGAATAATCCACAGGAAATTATTTATTGCAAACATAATGTTAACCCTGGCTATATATTAAAAAAAAAACATAGAATCTTCGTCTGCACTTTTGCTTAATTCTTCATTTAACATTATTTGTAAAATATAATAGTGGTTTGTCTTTGACCCAAAATAATTGTGGTTTTCATCACCAACCACGCTGTATTTCTTCATTGCTATTTACAATTTGTTTTGAATGATGAATAATTTATACCAAAATCAATAAACATTGTTTTAACCTATTAAATTATATATGTACTTGATGAGCGTGGCTTTGTCAAACAATAAAATTCATCGACTCAGTCGGTAGCAATCCTTATTGATAAAATTTAAACATAAAAGTGTAATAGACTCGTTAATAAAACAATTACGAAAATGGAAAAGAATTTCTGTCGTGGTCACCATAGTTTATTATTCACAGACATACAGAATATACACAATAATCTTTAAAATCGGTCAAGTCGTTTTGTGTAGGAATTTGGTAACAAACACAGTGACACAATGATTTATAAGTTCCTGAAAATTTAACAGGCGATGCCTAAAGAATTTACGGGTTTTCATTAATCCTATGAATTTGAACAATAAGATAGATATGACCCATGCTTTTCGAAAGAAACGGTGAAAACAAAAGAATCTTTAACGATGTTTTAATCATTCTTGAGAACTAGATAAAAACAGCATTGAGCGTGTTATGCGAACATAAATTATTGGAAGTAATTATTTACCGGATTTGTGTGTTAGCTAAAACTAGATACAAAAAAGTGCAAGTTATAACGTAGCAATAACGATAACATGCCTTGTTAACTGCAATTTTCGGATCGTGTAATAAAAATTTTTTTTTCGATTATATCGCGGAAATCATTTCTTTGTATTTATTCAGAAAGTAAATTAAGATTTTTTTATATTATTATAAGTAGAAGAGTTTTGTTTAATAGTGTAAATCTCAGCAACTACTGATTCGAATTAAAATAATTATTTCGTGTCAAATATTTATCGGGGAAGGCTAACATGCTGCGACCAAGTTAACCATACGTACCTACGTAATAATCAAAAAAATTTAATATCGAATACGTTTTTGACATACTAGAGGCACACTTAGCCCTAATTATAAAAGTCAAATCCAATACGATCTAGCAGTAAGTATCCTTAGATATATTATGTACAAACAGATGTACTGATCACATATAAAGAAAAAATATTAATGAAACGCGAGGTCAAAACAAAGGGCTGTGGCAATACTTTTAGAAATAGTTATGGCGGAAACACGTATAATCGTACGATCACGAAACAAATTCCAATATAACAAACCTATACTGGTTTTACGAAATAGTTTAATATCGAACAATTAATGCGTTAACGGAAATTCCTAATTAGATTCCATATTTGGACGAGCTGTTTATTACTCGATAATTATTTATCAGAATTTGGAATTGACAAGGTTATTCTGCGTTTCCGTTGATATATTTGCATATATGTATAACCCAAACTCAAAATAACTTTATTCATATAGGTAACCAATTACACTTATGAACGTCAACATAAAATATGTTAAATTGATTTTAAATTTACATTTACCAGTTCGCAAGTCAATGGCGTAGAGCGGTCAAGAAGGGGCTGAGGGCTATCCCGGGTACACTCATAATTCAACTATTAAATAGACAGATATTAATACATTAGTTTTTATGAGATTACAGTGAGATGGATGCAGTGTTGGCTTACCATTGTCTTATTTAGAAACAATTTGAATTTTGTTTCAAGCACACATAGAAAGAAATTGGCATAGAAATTTGTTACAATAAGTGTCCATTATAAACCTTGCAAAACATTTATAACGTGTTGACGAGAAATACAAAACACAAGCAAAAGAGACTCTTAATTTATTGTGGTTCTTAGAAGAGGTCTATTTATCTTGCACCTTTATTGTTTCACTAACGAAACGTCACATAATGCGTCGATTATATTCAAGTCATGTGTATGTAGTTTGAAGACCTTTGTAGAATCAAGGTAGCGACTATTATATTGTACGGCCCTTGAAAATTGTTTGTCACTCGTTTAGCTACTATGAAATTTATAGGTGGAAGATGATGTATAATTTGAAAATATATAGATAGGCTTAAGTCAAAGTCAAAGTCAAATCATTTATTTCAATTAGACCACCTAAAATGGCACTTTTGAACGTCAAAAAAAAATACAAAGAAGATTCTAGTTGCCCCTTCCAAAAGGTAGTTTCGTGTGGAGAAGAATGGGCAAGAAACACCACACTTACTCTTTTAAGATAGGTTTACAATATTTTGTTACAATTGTTAAGTAATTATATGTGAAGACAATGTACTCTTAGAATAAACTACTATACTAAAAAAGTTAGTATACCTACATGTTCATCACATATTTAAAAATATCGAAACCGTAGAATATTAACATTAAAGAGTAATAAAAAAACACAACAAAACAGTGTGTGAGATTAATAAAATAATTACATTTCTAGCATTATAAATTTAAAAAAAATAACAAAAATATGTTAAAGCAAAAAATCAGCAACCAATTTGATTTTGTCCAGGCTCTATGATTGTCCTATGGAGCAGGACCAGCATGTTTCCAAGTATTTTTTTAGACATTGTGTATAGTATTAAATTACACCTCTAAATAGATAGAAAAATATTACTTAAAAACACTATTGCCACTTGAAATTAAGTAACAACAGCACACTTAAAAAACATGTTAGGACTCTTTAGCTTAGTCCAACGTAGAAGGTTACAACACTGAATAGTTTTGTATGATTTTGAAAATAATTTATCTAACAGGTTTATATGTGAACTTTTTAATTTAGCCATCTAGTGTGTTGTGCGCCGCAATTTAGTAAATTGCATACATAGAAAGTTTTCGGCAACATCTTTCTAGCTCAATAAATATTCAAAATTTTCATAAACCTTTTCTATTATGAGAAATTGATTAAAAATGAGAAACGCTAAATCAAGTTTTTGTAGTATATACCCAAGCCTCATTTACGTTAGCCAATAGTTGGTTCTTTATCTTACTTATGTGTTATTTTTGTTTAATATTTTTAGGAATTTGACAAAAAGATATCGGTTCTACCACAATTAAACCACGAGAATGCCCGTTACGAAGACTTAAAGAGTAAGGTGACGAATTTCATGTCGGGCGAGAGTCCTAATAGGTCTCCTCCACCAGCACCGACTCCTTCAGGGAAGACTACACCAATGTCGAAAGTTGGAGCTAAGAAGAAATAACTATTTCTTTCAAGATTTTTCACGGTAATATAACTGAAACAAATTTTAAACGACTTCCGAAAACCCCAAAGTGGTGATTATAAGTTATCGGCCACTTAATCCAATGAATGAATCTTAATTCAATCTAAAACTCTTAAAAATAACACTGTCATTGCCTTCCTTAAAACAAACATTAAACTTCGTAGCTGAGCGGCATTGTTTGTTTATATATACTTATTAATATTTATAATAATACAACGTATGACTTTGAGAACAATAAAAAGATAAAAAAGTATTGTTAGTTGATGAATGCTTTTATGTTAATTATAATATTCAAATACGCTGTTATTATTTTTTACGCCTGCCAATTATTTTCTAGTGCTGTTGTGATGTATTGCTAATATATTTTTACAGGAACAAATAAATTAAAATTTAAGTTTAAGTTTAAGTTTAAGTTCTGCCAGTTTTTTTTCAAGTTATATTTTTAGTAAGTGAATCATTTCCAAATCTTGAAATGTGCTTAATAGGGATTTCTCATGTTATTTTTAACTTTTCTCAATGGCCAATAGATAGATGTCTTTAATAGTAGTAAAATTAAATGTTACTTAAATAAATTACTCCAGCTCGCTTAGGTGCTTAGGTTAAGGCATAAGCCTTGTACTGTACGTGTTTATGTCACTGTACTCTTCTTCAGTGACAAAACTAACGGCTGGACCGATTAGATTTTTTTTGTTAGCTTTTGGGTGTAGCCCTGGATGGTTTAGCCAACAAATCAGCCCGGCAGATGGCGCTGCAGTCGGTACTTGCATACTTTGTTTAATATCCTAATCGCTTGAAATATCATGCAGGACAACGTCTGTCGGATGCGCTAGTTATATTATACATATAATTGGTACACTAGCACACTACACAATTAATACACAATTATCGTCTTTGCGACGACGTCTTTACAAACGACTTTAAGCTGTGTGCTTCTACCGTACAAATGTCATGGACTAGTCTACAGGCCCGTCTTAGAGGATAGTCCTCAATTAAAAAAAAAAAATATTTGCGCTTCGACCCGATACCACATTAGTCCCAGACCAAGCAACTTCTTAGTTATTTCATATTGCGTTTATCAACCCGTATACCCTTGATTCTTAGACCGGATACAGGAAGTAACTCACCGGGAATAATAATAGTGACTTGAAGCTAATCTATTGTGTCACAGTTCATTCACCGCACAATAATTTTCAACATAATAATCTTATACATAAATTATATAAAAGTACTGATACAGATGGGGTATTTATATCATAAGGGAAGATAGAAAAAAATCGTGTTTGGATATTTTAGTTCACGTTTGTACTGTACTATAAGCTGTATATAGCTATTGAAGTTTTGTGGTTCCTTGCAAATAACTAAATGTCACAATAACAACTTTTACTTATTTATTTATTTCCACTTCGTTGCAAATAAAAGAAACACAATACATAAAAATTATAAGGGATGCAACGGGCGGCCTTATCGCTAATAAGCGATCTCTTCCAGGCAACCCTAGTTAAAGAGAAAAACTAAAAAAAAAAACATGATGCGTGCGAGAAGTGCAGAACCAAATGTTATATAAAAAGTTTTTAGTTGGTTTTAAATAAGATTGAGTATAAAAACTTATTATGAATTAGTGTGAAAGTTATTCTTATGTATACTGAAATAGGCAGGCTCCAGAAGATAAACCACACCTTATATGGAAATTGTATTCATTTTACAATAAACTCTCAAGCGAAATTATAAAATTATCACTGAATAAATTCAAAACTTTCCTTAAAAGTATAATAATCTATAAAGCTTTTTATAAATTTGACGATTATTTAAATGATCCTAAACCTTGGGATTGGTTTGCTCCTGTTCAAACAATTTGTATGACTCAAAACTTGGCGATTAAAAATAATATAATTCCATTGTATACGGTAGATACTTTGACGGCTTTGAAACATATGTAGGCTTAATATTAATTTAACATAGTGTATATAGATGGTACATTATAAATAATTCGTTATCTCAGAAGGCAGATGATGAACCCTTTATGATGAAGATAATTAAAAAACCTCGGACTTCGACGGCATTGTTTACGAATGTTACACAAATTAATATAATTTAAAAATAATAAATTCGAATAATGAAAGTTTCTTATCAAATATTACAGATGATGGAACTAATGAGCATTTCTAGACATATTTAGCTTTTACTTTCGTTAATTTAATTAGTTAAGTTCGACTAATTGCTTAGGTCAGACACCTTTTACTGAGATACTAAATTTCTGTTAAGTTTTTACATTTATTTTATATATGGCTCGGAATTGCACTTATAGTTTTTTTATCTGGATTTCATCTAATTATAAATATTTCCTGTTCATGTGGTATTCTTGTATCAAATGTGGGTTCTGTTTCACTCTTAGATAGTTATTTCTGTAAATATTAAATTTCTATTTAAGTGAATACGTCTTAGAGAGCGTTCAAGTATTACGTAACGTATTTTATCCTTTTGTAAAACGTTACGATGCGGGGCGGGGATTAAATTACGCGTTATTGTTAATATTTTTTTCGACTTACACCACATAATAGTAACTAAAGAGTCACACTAGGTGGTCACGAAACGTTTTACTATACTTGGGTACAGTACTGTACTTGGGTACTGAATAACGTTACGGCGAGTTACATGGGGGGGGGGGGTCAATAATCTCCAAAAAGAGATCTAAGAAAATATAAAATCCATGAAATAAATAATACTTTTAAATTTGAGGTAATCAGAATTCAAATTACAACAGTAAACCTAGATTTCTTATAAGATCTCTATACGCCTCGTTTTTTGCATTATGACGAACGTGTTCAAAAGTAAACTTTGTAATTTTAGATCTACTAGGCCAGGGAAAGTCAAGTAGCTTGTTCTTATAGTATTGTATATGTCGCAGCAAACTAGCTTAATAAGCCGTTCAATTAACAGCCTAGCCTCTTAACTAAACAGCGTCGTTTAACTAGCGGCATGAACGATATTCAGCCAGCTGATCAAACAGCTAGGCAAATGACATGGATCGATGACGTTTACTTATTTTTTATGTTAGATCTTTCATCATTTTTATTTCTGCCACATGGTCACTCTATCGTACGAATGGCCTAAGCATTAACCAGCCGGTTTATTTAATGTTGTTACAAACGCTGAAGCAGCATATCTTTCAAGCTGCTACTTAAATGGCGCTGTTTAGTTAAAAGGCTAGGCTGTTAATTGAACGGCTTATAAGCTATTTCACTGCGACATATATACAATATTTTAGCATAATTTACAACTCAAAATCATCAAAAAGTCTGAAGAAGTAGCCAAATATCGAAGCGTAATTGACTTCCTATATGAACAAATATAGTTTTATTCATTAAAGTACATTGAAATGTGAATATAATATGATATGCACGTATTGTTTAGATCATAAAATAGAAAGATAGTTTAGTAAAAGGCAGTTACGGCAACGGTAAAACCACTAAAGCGTAACGATGAGTCAAAATTACGTGTACGTTGACAAAATAATTCGGATTCTTATGAAAGCAGCGAAATAATTAGTGCGGATAACAGCACTCCTATCAACGCATTAGATGTCTGACGTAATATCCTTTGAATAAACAAAAGTTAAACAACACGGGTAGTGTACTAGTGGCTAGGTGAGTGAATCTTTGGGGACGATCCCTTTAAACACCTTGCACGGTCTGACAACGGAATCAATATTTGTATTACGGTGAAGGAAAACTTCAAACATGCGGCTGTTAGACTAGTTCTGGATCTAAGACCCAAAAACCAGCGTGTGTCAGATACAGAAGGATCACCTAGTTGTTTATGCAGATACTAAATAAGCATACATAACTGTAGCCAAGATCCAAAAGGTTTGCTCTGCGTTTGACTGTTGTTTATGTTTGATTTCGACACAAAACGTGTAGTTTAATTAATTATAATCTGATAAATAACGTTATCTATTATTCTTATCAATAAAATCAATACTGATTGATTAATGACCCCGATCTTTATATACTTTGGAATAAATAAATTTCATGAGTAATTAGAATCTTTTGTTACCTGTAGAACCTTTTTTATATAAAAAATTGAAGTAAGAATTTCGATTTTGGTCATATTATATTTTATAGAATACACGAAATTTATTCTATACAAAATGGAGGTCCTTTTAAATTAAGGCAATAATTTAATTTATTTATTCAGTTACAATACTTGTGTATTTAAAAAAAATTTTGTATAAACAGATGACAATTCGTCATACAATTATTTACGAAAATCAGGTTAAACTGTGCAGTTAGTGGCAACAACAAATTGTTTTCATCAATTTTGTAATCGCCGGCCTTCCATTCGTCACGCTTTTCTCATTCATTACATCTAATTATAGTTAAAATATGTACTTTGTTTTGGGTAAAAAAGTAAAGAAAAATATGTTTCTAATATAAACATTTCTCCCAGGTATAATGTAATCTAATCAGACTAAACTATGTACTAGACATATATGTGAGTTTAATTCAAAATACAACCAACCTTTAAAAATCCAAATAAATATAAAAATTCACTAACACGGCCACAGTAATCACAAATACACTTTTTTCTATTTTACTATTCGAATTTAGAATTATAAAAGTTACGACATCAAACTTCCGCTAAGTTTTGGCAGTGAGTGACAACTGAGTGCGCAGGCGCGGATGTCGGGCCCGGAACTATGCGCAGTGCATTTGTAATTGTTTTACCCCATCCAAGGTGATATATCCATTTAGGCTTATCATTTGATGGGGCGAAGGCGCACCTGGTTTTAAACCGCCATGTCCAGATGCCAGTTGGTTAATCGATTCCAATTGAGATAAACAACGATATTGTTTTGGAGAACTTTAAAAACATTCTCATATATTTCTGGAAACAGCAGTTTCCATGATTTTCCGTGGCAGATACATTATTTGGCAAACAATCAACATATTTCTTTAGAATATCAGTTTAAATAATATTTT